GGGGGGGGGTCCAGCGGCCCCGCCTTTCCCGGAGACGGCCCGATGGCGGCGGCCAGGCCTGCCCAAGGGCCCAAGCAGCGCCCCTGCGGCCGCAGGATGTCGGTGACAGATAAGCATGACCGTTGCGTCCTCGGCCCGGGAGCGGGCCACGACCCGCAGGGCTGCGGGGCCTGTGCCAGCATGGCCCCCTACGCTGCCCACCTTCGCTGGGAGCACCTCCGTGCCCTGCTGCGGGCCCGGCCCGGCGGTGGCGCTGACCTGCACCCTGAGCGGGTGAGCTGCAGGGCAGCGAAGGGGAAATCCACGAAGCGGCGGCGTGAGCTCGCCTTCCCTGCCAGTAGCCAGGGCTCTGTCCCAGCACTACAGTTGACGACCCTGCTGGGCCTTCCAGCAGAGCCTGGGAGAGCGGCTCTGCTGAAGGACCTGCTGTTGTCATCTCCAAAAACCTGAGTTACCTCCCCAAATCAAAACTTTCACAGTACCTGACAACACACGCTCCCCGCAGAAGCAGCACTGTCATGTAAGAACCAAACAGAACCCAAAAGCTTCAAGCCCACCAACACTGAAGCCACCACCTTCAAGCAGTTTTGTGTCCCAGTCTCCGCTCCATCCCCTGCACCTGGTGTCAGGACCGGAACTACAATCTGGGGAATCTCAGTAGCTGGGTATGCTCTCAGACCTGGCCAGATCCATCCTCCTAATTGCTGAGGCTGCCTCAAGACCCAGAGAGCCACCTCCAGAACTTGCCGCAGACCCTTTGGTGAGCTCCAGTGCAGCCAGGATGCTTTTGGAACCAAGGATGTCCTCCGGATCTCAAGAGCTGTCTCTCTCACTGGATGAAGCAGTTACCTCAAGTTGAATGCCCCCTCTGCCAACGGTCTCAGAACAGCTCTTATCATCCCCCTGTGAAAGAGTGTCCCCTCACCCCACCTTGCCAACAGTGGGTTGTGACTCATCCAGCTGGAAGCCAGGTGTTGCTTTTGGGGGTGAGGGTTGCTGCTATGATTCTTCTGGAGAGGATGATTTGGCTGATCTTACCTACCATTTTAGAACAGAAGAACAAGAGGGTAATACTTCCACATCAGAAAAATCCATCTTTCCCCCAGTTCTTGAAAAGATTGGCTAAACTGGTTGGATTTCATTTAATTCCATTCCAGGAGTCAACAGGGAGTCTCATTGGTTGGTATCTGGATCAAACACCCTCCTACAATAGAGTTGCCATGCCCTTGCATCCTGTCTTGGACAAGCTGGTAAAGAAAGTATGGCAGACACCCCACACCGTTCCTCCTGTGTCAAAGGAAATTGAGAGAAAATACATCCTCCTTGAAGATGCGGTCGGTTATGTCATTCAACCTGCACACAAGACCATGGTAGTCAAGGCAACAATGGCGAGGGAGAAGGTGGGCCAGGAGCATGGTACTGCACCCCAAAACCCGGAACTGCGACGCCTGGATTCATACGGCCAGAGGGCTTACCAGTCGGTAGCTACAGCCCTCCATGTTGTGGACTATCAAGTCTACATGGCCAGAGGGCAAGTTGAGCTCTGGAAGAAAGTTTCTGCACTAGCAAAACGTCTTCTGCAGGACCAGCATCAGGCCTTCCAGGACGTCATTCTCGAGGGCACAGACCCGGCCAGGCATCAAGTGCAAGCAGCCTTTGACGCAGGGGATACGGTGGCGAGAGCCGCTGCCTGGGGGGTGGATGCATGGCGGCCTGCTTGGCTGCAAGCCTCCAGCGTCCACGAGGAGGTCCAAACAAAACTCGAGAACTTACCCTACGCAGGGGAGAATCTCTTTGGGGAACAGGTGGAAGCTACTTTACAAAGAGCCAAAGAAAGGCAGGCCACGCTGTGCTTCCTGAGGTTGGTGTACTGCCCCTCGCCCCCTGCAGCAGGGTTGGGAAGGGGAAAGCTCCTCTGCATAAGCCAGCTTTCACGTCCACTGTTTGTTTCAAGGGTGTGCAGTGCCCTTCTGGGAAGGGTGCCCCATCACAGTAGCAGAACAAGGTGCTCTTCATCTCCGCTCTACAGACAGCAAAAATAAAAGGGAATTCAAAGAGCCTGAGGCATTTAGCTGGTAAATCATGTCTGGTAAACTGATACCCATCAGTGAGATGACTCGGTCTGCCTTGTATTTCCTCCCCCTTTTGAGTTTCAAGTCCTAAGCTTTGTTATGTATAACTAGAAAACAAAAGCATGTCCAAATCTCCATTCCTCAGTTCCTGAGAGTGCTCTAATAAACCATCTTATTGTGGAGAACAGCATACGGTCTGATTCCTCTTGGCAAAGACACCGGGCCACGGGGAGGAGGAGTACATTCTAACGTGAAAGTTAAAGAACTAGAAAAGTTTGAGATACTTGCACAGGGATTCCTTCTGTCCCTTCCAGACCAAGGCAAGAGGCTGCCAATTCAGCCTCCTGCAGAAGCTGTGGCAGCGTGCTTTCTCAGCAGTGGCATTTTTTTTTAAAGGCGATGTACAAACCTTCTCCGGAGTTGGTTAGCTGAGTGGTTTAAGGCTCATTTTCAGCACAGAGACAGGTTGGCTGGCTCTTGCTTTTTGTCAGTCCAATGTCAATCTGTTAGTTTCCTTTCAGTTGAAACGTTTCTGTCTCTTCTCAAGAAGGAAATTTCAGCAAGAATTTAAGTCATGTCTGCTACTGCTGTTTGTATTGTAAGTGGCTGAAAATATTCTTTCTCTCCCCAAGGACTTGTCTAGCTGGAAAACTGATTGACATCATTTTCCAAACTAACTGTTCTGCTACAGTTAACCCATACTCTCTGCTATGAAATGACTTTGTATTTATTCTTAAATAGAATCAATTTTATTTCAAACTAGAGAGTCTCGATGCGGGAACTTATTTTCAAGTCGCTGTCGTGACATTTCTCCTTTGTAGGCAAGGCATGGTGTCGCTTAATTCGTGTTAAAATAAGTTGGCTAAACCATTGCACGGAAACATAGCTCAGCCATTTGCATCTGTTGGGCTTGTGTTTTATAATGGGAAATTTTGTAATACGAAGTTACGGCTCCAGATACTTGTTTACGCTAGGACTCACATTATCACTGGAGGGGGAGAGTAAATCACTGAGAAGTCTAAAAATAACCTGAAACCTTCCGCAGACAGGAAGGTTCTGTTATTTGCAGAAAAGGAAGTGTCTGACGCAATGATCCTGTCTCAAAGTAGCCATAAGGGAACGATACAAGCAGTGCCTTGCCTTGTCTTTTGGGTAGCTCTCAATATTGCTTGTCCTGAAACATATCATGGGACTCAGTTTAGTGTCTCACATGGCTTTTCCTGAGATGGTGCCCTGCTGGATGTCTCTACTGTGAGCAGATAACAAAAGAGCTGTCACCAACATGGAGCGTCAGTAATTAAACGAACCTCGGCGTGCCAGCTTGGTACAAAGGGGCTTAATTCAACCCCGTTCCACCCTGATGGTGCAGATGGGATCAGCAATGTGTGAGAACGGGTGGCCAAGACCGCGTCAGCTTGACCTGTGCAGCAAGCGTTCATTCCTCGGCTGTGCAGGACGCTGCAGCTCCCACTGTGTAGGAGTTTAGTGGACCCATGGAGAGGATGGACTCGGAAGGGGCAGGCTCAGCCCAGCCGTCGACAGAACCTGCGGGTGCCCGTGAGGATGTTTGCGGATCCCGACTGCAGACCCTCTTCCAGGTGCTGACGGGTGTCTGCATCCTGCTGGTCTGCTGCCACAGACCCACTTGCTTTTATTTGGCCTTGAGGTGAACCTCTCCTTCCTCAGGATCCGTAATATTTCTGAAGCAGCCACATCTTGTGTTTCTGGGCCATTTTGTGGAAAATCGCACATCTGGAGGCAGTGCAGTGCTTGATTGCAACCCTTTCTTTGAGAATCTCCTGAAAGCTCTCCCGATGAGGCAAAAAGCTGCCATGGTGAAGCTGCACACAGAACTGGGGCTCCTCTTGCCTGGCAATGCCGGGAAAAAACTGAGGCTTATTTGGCTTTATCTGGAATGTTTTTTTCTTCTGAACAAGCCTCTTTCCTGGGGATGAAATGGAGGGTTGGCAGGAGAGAGGCAAAGCCAGAGAGTGTGGGAGCGAGATCAAAGAGATACCCACAGGGTGGGAGGCGTGGCAGAGGTGAGACACTGGCAAGAAGTGTCGCACATCCGCAGGAGAAGCAGCAGGGATCCATGGGTTTTGGCTTCGTGGCTCATAACTTTTGCTTCCAAGGCTTTTATAGCATCCTTGAAACCCCTGGGTAGCCCGAACTCAGAAGGAGCCTGGCAAGGATGCAGTGAAGCTTGCAGGCTTGCATGGGGCTGGTAGCCAAGGTGTCTGAGATGTTATCCATGCACCTACAAGGTGATGCCTCCTCCAAAAATCCAAGCAAGAGCACAAAGGACATGTCAAGTCACATGCAGCCTCCCCTGCATGTGCCGTCTAGGATTAATCACCATTTAATTAATTGTGATAGGATGATAGACCAGCAAGGGGGAGTGCACCGGCAGCCGCGTGGGGGAAACCCCTTTCGCAGCAGGTTGGAAAAGCAGCTTTGGGGGAGAAACTTGAGCAGGAGGGTTGTAGTGGGACAGGGGGGGAGCATCTTGGTGCCATGCTCCCCCACCATGTCATCCCAGATATCTATACCTCCGGTCTGGGGCATGTTTTGATTGTGGGCATCATTGCACTGCCATCTCCTGCCGTTCCCCTGTCCGCTGGTGCAATGAATATGGCAGTTCTTTACCTCTCTCTGCTGCAGCAGCCTTCGCTTCATCCCCCCACCCCAGATTACTAACCAGTCCGTTGGAGCTGTTCCAACATCCGCTGGCTGCTCTCAGCAGTGCCAAAAGATTCTCTGCTAAAAGGCCAAGCCATAAATATCACTAGATCACCCTCACAGGAGCTGGGCATCGGTGGAGGCACCAGGGATAATGGCAGTACCTGTGGGTCTGTCTTCCCAAATGTTCCCGAACAGTGAGGGACCTGTGCCTGTGTCTCGGGGCAGGCAGACTGCCACCTCAACCTGTGTCTCTACCAGAAACGCCTGCATTGCTCCTGCCTCAAGACACACATTCAGGTGCTCATGGGCTTATCGCCTGAAATGGCTGCATGGGGTGCCCGGAGACTGAAGTGGTCTGGCTCGGGAGAAGCTGAAAAGTCCTAATAGTGGGTAAATCACTCAATTTACCAGCACAGATCACTGCTCTGGTCTGCTGCTGGGTGTTGTGCCTGGCCGGCGGTGACATGCTGAGCGAGTGTATCCTGATGCGTGTAGCGTCAGGGCTGAGCTGTGCCTGGCAGCCGCACACGTGGCACCTCTGGGAAACTTTTAAGTGGCCCAAAGCATTAATGCAGGGAGAGCGTAGCACAGCCACCAGCTTTGGCAGTGCCACCACCGCCTGCACTGCTGCAGTGAGCTAAGTCCTTGCGCTCACGCTGGCTCTAAGTGACACAAAGGGATTTGCTGTTACCTGGAAATCCAAGATGAGGCTCCAAAAGCATCCCCCCAAAAGGCGAGGCTGTGTTGGAGCATGCCAGCATGGTGGGTCCTGTGCCTGCCTCCATCACACCGTCACAAATGCATTTCCACCCAGTGCAGGGATGCCGTCCCTCGTCACATGCGGCCGGTGGCTTCTGGAAAGGGCCTGGGTCTGCAGGACACATGCGCTCTGGCTTCCAGCTGAGAAGCTCAAGGAGCTCGGATGTTTTTATGAGTCAGGAGCTCCCCGGACAACCTGCTGGCCAGTTTCTTCCCTCTCCAGCCCCAACCTGGGGCTGCTCTCAGATCCCCTCGCCCCAGCCGCTGCCACCGCTTTCTGCCTGCTGCCCATCACACATGACGCATAGCACACAACCCACAAAGGAAAAACCCCGAGCGACAAACCCCAGCCCTGGGGGCGGGCGGAGGTGAGGCTGGAGAGCGGAACTAAAAGCCTGCGCAGCCCAGCCTGCCAGCTCGCCGCCCTGCAGGCGCTGCCCCAGCCCCAGCCCCTTGGCCACCGGGACCCCATGCCGAGGCAGGATGGAGGATTTAGGTAAGCCGGGCCCCTCCGGAGCCAGTCCCACGCTCAGGCTTGGTGCAGGGTCGTCTGTTTGGTGGCTCGGGGGAGCCTTGTCCTTCCTCTACCTCAGGGTCAGGTGGGGATGCTGCAGAGGGGGCAGCAATGGAGCCGTACTCCCTGCCATGCCTCCCCCCATCTCAGGGGATGAATGGGGCCCAGGTGGCTGAGTGAGCGCTTGACCGAAAATGGAGAGTGCTTGAATGCAGGAAACAGGCTGCGGCAGTGATGCAATCCCAGCTGCATGCAATGGGGCCAAGCAGCCCAAGGGTGTGACATGACGTCCAAGGGTGCTGGGAGTCATCCCTGGCCCAGGCTGAGGGAGATGGGGTCAGGGAAGCAGCCGTACTGTGGGGAGCACCCTCCTGTTTCCCGACACTTGGGCAGCAAGATACCGAGGGACAGCCAAGGTGGTGAGGTAAAAGCGGAAAGAGAAAGTGCTTTGCCCTCCCTGCGGGAAGCGCCGCTCTGGGTGCACAGAAAGCACCAAGGTTTAGCTCTCCCGTGCCAGGGCTTGTGCTGGGATGAATGTAAGGGCTGATAGATGTTTCTTCATAAGCCAGAGATGGTGCACAGGGGAAGCAGGACCCCTGTTGCCAGCGGCCCCCCACGCTTCAGGAAGGCTGCGCAGTGTGGCAGGCACATCCTGTGTTGGGGATGGGGGTCTGGGTGAGCATGCTCAGGGCCACCACAGCCCTTCAGGGCCTTGGCACCTGGCAGGCAGAAGCTGCTGTGATGCTACTTTTGCTCCTGAGATTTCAGGAGTGGCACAAGACCACTTGGCAGGGGGGGGGTGCACAGGCAGGGAGGGCAGCCAGCGGCTGGGGTGCCCGACCCGGGTCTCTCTGTGCAGATGCTTTGCTGGCAGAACTGGAGCAGAGCTCTCACCCAGGCTCCAAGGACTGCATGCTGCAGGTGCCGAGCTGCTGCAAGCAGGATCCGGCCACAGCCGGGCCCCCAGCACCCAGTGGCCATGAGCCGCTTGCCTCGGCGGCCCTGAAGGTAACACCTCAACACTGTGGGACTGGCAGCTGAGACCCTGCTCAGCTTGTGACAGGGGTGGTAGTGGTGGGCAGGCAGTGAAGGGTGCCAGGGGAGCATCCTGCGGGCTCAGCTGCAAGGGTTTGTCCTTCCAGGTGCAGCTGCCGCCTCGGGCTCAGCCTCCAGGGGAGGCTTTGAAGACAGTCTACAGGTAAAACGTGGCCATGGGAGGGCAAAGCCATCTGGGGCTACCCTTTCCATTGCTTGGACACATCCTCTGGGGTCACCTAGCCTCCTGCATGTCCCCCAAAAAAACAGGTCCTTCTGCAAGCTGTGACGGGGGGGGGGGGGGGGGTAGATCATT